GCAGGAGGCTCTCAGAGAGATGGAGTACAGTAAGATAGTGGTAAAAATTCAAACAGGCTAATCACCTTCAGATAGGGTAGTGACAGGACACCAAGAGGCAGCTTCTCCTTTCTTCTGTCATTCTCTAGCAAAGCAACCTGGCTATTATCAAAACAAGCATCCCTACAGACAAAGCAGCTTAAACGCATACATAGAAACTGAGTGTGGTGATGCATGCATGCCTTTAATCCCAGCACTTGGGAAGCAGAGGCAGGCAGACTTCTGTGAGTTCCGGATCAGCCTGGTCTACAGTTACAGGACAAGTTCCAAAACTACAGAGAAACCCTGTCTCAAATGCTCCCCCCTCCCCCGCAAAAGAAAAGCATATAGAATCCAGAGATGAAGCCTTGTTGATAGGGGATCCAAGAGCACACGGTAAACTGTCTCAATCATCTCAGCCACCCAAAAGCACAGGGACACAGTCTTTTTTCTCAGATCTAAACTGACCTCCCCTACCCAATGCCTGGCATACCTTTTCCCCTTCCCCTCCCTGAAGACAATTTTTCTCCCAAAATATAAGCTTAAGAGTATCACCAAGCTGAAGTAGCCAGTTCATCCCCAAGCACCACAAAACAAAAAACCCACAAAAAATCAAAATGCTTACACACACACACACACACACACACACACACACACACAGATGCTTCTTCAGATATACTTTCTCTCTTTTTTCTTTTTTCTTTTCCACCAAGACAGGGTTTCTGTGTGTGGCTCTGGCTGACCTGGAACTCTCTATAGACCAGGCTGGCCTTGAACTCAGAGATCTGCGTTCCTTCTCTTAAAAATAATTCAGCTGTAGCCAGGCAGTGGTGGTGCACACCTTTAATCCCAGCACTCAGGAGGCTGAGACAGGCAGACCTATGAGTTTGAGGCCAGCCTGGCCCACAGAGTGAGTTCCAGGACAGCCAGAGCTACACAAAGAAACCCTGTCTTGAAAAACAAAAACAAAAGATAATTTAGATATAAGTGTGCATTACCCCTGAATGGAAGTAAAGCAGGAGATAAAAATTGAAATCATATTTTGAGGGGGAAAGTGAGATTTTAAGAATCGAAATGAGAAAATGTAACAACTTCTAGCTTAAGTATTAACATGTCTTTGACTCATACAATCACTTGTTTTTAAGGGCTTCCTGTGACTCTTAAAGAACTCCAAATAAGCTGGGCAGTGGTGGCGCACGCCTTTAATCCCAGCACTCAGGAGGCAGAGGCATCTCTGAGTTGAGGCCAGCCTGGTCTACAAGAGCTAGTTTCAGGACAGGCTCCAAAGCTACAGAAAAAACCCTGTCTCGAAGAAAAACAACAACAACAAAAAAAAACTCTAAATAATCTACTTCACCCTAACCTTTTTTTCTGAGTCAAGGACGCTTTGAAAATTCACAGGATAGCATTGATGCAGCTCAGTGACACAGTGCTTCACAGCATGTTCAAATCTAAGGACTCTAACCCCAATCCTGTCTAACAAAACAAAACCGAAGAATACACACAAAAGGGGAAATGTGTTCATGGAGAAACCTGTAAGTCATTTTTAACTACCTTCTCTTTGAACTCAAATCAAAAAGTAGGCTCTTTCTCCACTGTAATTACTTTCTTCGTAGCTTTTTGAGATAAGAATATCAGGTAGCTTCAGTCTGGCCTTGAACTCGATTTGTAGAGGGTGGCCTGGAACTCCTAATTGTCCTGCCTCTGCCTGCCAAGTGCTGGTATTAATGTGCCATCACATCAACTGTATTGGCTTATTAAGTACAAACTGATGACCATCAGGCTGTGTCCAGCCTAATACATATTTTGGCTACATATCCATCTTTGTCCTGATTTTAAGGACAAATGAAACTTTAGAGGCCAGAGCTGCTGTGAGGATGAAGGAAGCACACTCTGCCAGGTAACTACTAGAATTTAAGTAGAGCACACAGGCCTGGTCCTTTGGCTGGATGGCTGGGGGTAGAGGGGTATACCATGACAACACACAGGACCAGAAGATGACCTCATCACTCTGTATGTACATGCCCACTTAGGGTCAGAAACTTTCATCTAATCAGACTCCTGTTCATTCCCTTGGAGTCTCTAGTATCTCCTGGATACTGGAATCAAATCCCATGCAAGTGAGTACTTTAGCAGTGCACATATCCAGTCTTTGCAACTTTCAACTTTTGCTGCAATGGGTTTCTTCTGTAAGGCCCCAATTTTTTGGTCCACTATCAGTTAAAAAAATAAATAGTTGATTGTACCCTGAACATCAGTACCATCAAGCAGAAAGGGAAGCTCAAAAAGAGCTCTTCTAAACTGGGCGGTGGTGGTGCACGCCTTTAATCCCAGCACTCGGGAGGCAGAAGCAGGCGGATCTCTGAGTTCGGATCTCTGAGTTCGAGGCCAGCCTGGTCTACAAGAGCTAGTTCACAGAGGCTAGGTTGCATAAGCAACTATGATGCCTGTATGGTGTACCCCATATATATCCCCAGCAGCACCTTCACCTAATTTGCATGTCTAACCTTGCCTTTTGCCTTCTTCCAGAACCCACGCACGGCACCAGTAACTCCAGCCAGAGACTTCACTCATTTTATTTAACAAATTTATTAAACATCTGTTACATGCCACTCACAAGGCTCTAGAGAATAAATCATTAAGAGTCCTCTTATAAACAAACTACCAAGAGGACAAATTTGGCAACATGTTACGAGAAAAACTCCAAAACTGGGAACGCTGCATAGAGGACTTGACAATTCGAGTAGTGGGGGCATGTCAAAGATGATGACCCAAGATATCATAGGGACAGGAATTCAGGGGAAAAGCACTCCATGGGGACTGAACTGTAAATGCTAACATATTGGAGCATAAGATGGACATGGGAGCCCCCACCCCCATTTGCAGAAAGATCCTTTTTACTCATGTGTACGTGCCCTTTTGCCTCTACGTTTCTTTAATGGCATGCATTTGGCAGGCTGGTCTGATGATGTGGGCTCATCAGGGGGACTAGACTCTGCAGAGGCACTTGGCAGGCTGGGCACATCCTGTGAGACTACCCGACGCCGTTTCCTACGTGATTTAGGTGGAGCCATGCATATAAATCTATTCTTTCTTTTCTTTCTCCTTTGTTGCGCCAGCAGAGCGGCAGCCTTTCTCTCCTTGGATTCTTGGGCTGTAACACTTTGCTGGAGCTCTGGCTCCAGCTCGGGCTCAGGCTCCAGCTCGAGCTCCGGCTCAGGCCCAGGTTCGGGCTCCGGCTCGGGCTCTGGCTCGGGCTCCGGCTCAGGCCCAGGTTCGGGCTCCGGCTCGGGCCCAGGTTCGGGCTCCGGCTCGGGCCCAGGTTCGGGCTCCGGCTCGGGATCTCCCTCTGGCTCTGGCTCGAGATCTCCCTCTGGCTCTGGCTCGATATCCCCCTCTGGCTCGATATTCCCCTCTGGCTCTGGCTTGAGATCTCCCTCTGGCTCGAGATCCCCCTCTGGCTCGAGATCCCCCTCTGGCTCGAGAGCCCCCTCTGGCTCGAGATCCCCCTCTGGCTCGATATCCCCCTCTGGCTCGATATCCCCCTCTGGCTCTGGCTCCCGCTCAGGCTCGGGCTCGGGTTCAGGCTCAGGCTCAGGCTCAGGATCCCGCTCTGGCTCGGGCTCAGGCTCAGGCTCAGGCTCAGGATCCTGCTCTGGCTCAGGCTCAGGCTCAGGCTCCCGCTCGGGATCCCGCTCTAGCTCAGGCTCAAGCTCAGGCTCCCGCTCGGGTTCGGGCTCAGGCTCCAGTGGTGGTTGTTTGGAACTTTTTCCAGGGGCCCCTATTTCACAAACATCAGCAGATGAAGTAGCCCCAAGAACAACACAATCAATTTCTTTTTCGAGAACAGGCATTTGGCACTCATCACTAGAAACATCTTTTTTCTGCTCAGAACCCTTTAAATTGGGACTGTCATCTTCATCATCGATAACAATTACTTGAGACTTCTGATCGCTGGAGCCCTTAACGTTAGAAGACTCATCAGAAGAAGACTCGTCAGAAGACTCATCTGAAATTCAAGAGACATCTATAAATATACTCCTTCTATCCAACCCACTCTGTATATACAGACATCAGCAGGTTATTGAGCACAAATTAAAAAAACTGAGTGTTTGGACATTCTGAATCACAGTTAAAAATTATACTTATAGATTGTTTTCCCTGTATTTTGTGTTTTACTAAGAGTAATGACAGATAAATTAGCAATGAAAGTATTATGTATGCTATGCCCACTTTAAAATCACATTGTCTAAACAACATGAAGTATTTGCTCAGTTGTTCCTAAACACAAACCTGCTGCCTTGTGGTTCACAGCAAAATGTGGGCAATTACATCAATAAAGTGGTATCTCATTTATATCAAGTTAAAGTTCTCTAGCTTAAAAAAACTTCTTTATTTAGTCCTATGACGTAGCTGGACTTTTGGTGATTTCTACCTTATACAAATAGTGTATAGAGTAGATAGTAGTTGGTACCTCCCCCAGCTCCAGTCTCCACCAAGCTGGAAAGAGGACTGAGCCATGCCTCTCACCCTCTCCTCTTCCTTGTCATACCCACCTATAAAGGATGGAAGGAGAGGAAGATGGAGGAGTGGAGTCTAGGCAAATAGAACCCTAAGGCAGCAGAAGAGTTGCAACTGTGTTAGGAAACAGATCAAGGTGAGGAACCCAGCCATAGTTGGGCAGTGGTGGCTCAGGCCTTTAATCTCAGCACTTGAGAGACAGAGGCAGGTGGATCTCTGTGAGTTTGAAGCCAGCCAGGACTGTTATACAGAGAAACCCTGTCTCAAAAAAAAAAGAAAAAAGAAAAGAAAGAAGAAGGAAGCCAGCCATACTGACATCCAGCACATAATGAAAAAAGGGCGGCACTGGCCTCAAGGTCATTATAAACTTAAAAATGTGCAGAGTCAGACCCTAAAACTGCCACATGTGACAAGGCTTCAGAGCAGCTATTTCTCTAAGCAAAGATGATACTTGCCTTCACTGCTTATTTCACAGATCTTAGATCTCTTTTCCTCATAGAGAGAGTCAGAGTCTGAGTCAATCACCACACAGCTAAGTAATAAGGTGGAAAAAAACAAAAGAAAAATATGAGCATAAATATTCTTTCCTTCTGGGCAGTTTCCATATTTTCTACAATAAGCAGGATTACTTGTTAAGTTTTGGTTGTTTCCTACTACACTAACGCTATTCCCCTTTATTGGAACTACAACCTTTCAATTATTCCAATTACTCTATACACCTTTCCCCTTTCTTACAAACTTCCCAAAGGAGGCGTCTGTCGGCTACAAAAAGTAAACTGGGTCTTGTCAGAGTGCAAGTACTCAAAATAGTTTTGGTGGCAGGGAAAAATTCATTGGGAGCTTATCATTCTTCAACTCTGAGATGAATTTGTGTAAGAGAGCCAAAGAGCAAAGGTTCTCACTGACCCCTTGTCAACTTGACACAAAGATATCACTGGTAAGATAAAACCTTTCCTTTCTTGTTCATCAACAAGATCACACATTAATAAACATTACAATATAAAACATTACAAAATTTACAAGTCCCGGAGTATTTAAAATTCCAAACACTTAAAAAAATTTTAGTATCTTTAACATATCAAATCTCTTAAAATCCAAAGTCTTTGTAAATTTTCAAAATCTCTTTAGAAAGTTCAAAGTCTCTCAACTGTGGCCTTCTGTAAAAATCAAAACTAAGCACTATCTTACTTCAAGAGGGAAGAACCAGGGCACAGTCACAATCTGAATAAAGCAAAACCAAACTCCAACTGTGTAAATAATTCAATGTCCAATATCTGGGTTCAAGTCACGATCTTCTGGGCTTCTCTAAAGGACCACTTTTCTGGCTCCACCCACTACAGCCCACACAGATTGTCTCCTAAGATCAGGACAACTGCACTCCACTACTGTTGTTCTTGGTAGTTGTCCTATGGTACTGGCATCTCCAAAATGCGGAGGTCTCTTGCTGCAATTGCGCTGTAGTTTCACCAATAGCCTCTGCTGGGCTCTCTTCAGGGACTTCAGCCCTGCCACACAGTGCCAAGTCTCAGCTGCTCTCCACGATACCTTCATGACTTCAAAACCAGTACCACCTGGGTGACTCTTATACACTACCAGGTTCTGCTGCCAACACAAGGTACAACCTAGGTCACCTCTGGAGTACCACTTCTGTGTGCTAATTCTGAGAAAACACTTCCCACAAGATTTCACCTCAGCGATGGTGTGTTCTTAATCACTGCTGATTTCTCAGCTCTAGTTGTCCAGCATCAATTATCCCAGCAAAGCAAAGGTTTTTTTTTCACTTTAGTGGTTTTGGTATCTTGATAATCACAACCAATTCTTCCACACACAGATTCTTAACACAAGATACGTTAACAGCCCTAATGAGAGTCTTTAAGTGATTTCAAATCTTCCCTCTGGAACTTCAAAAACCACACCTCCATCATCTGCATTTCTCTCAACACTAATCTTTCAAGTTCCCATAGAACATTTCACTAGGCTTTGAACACTCAATGAATTTTCTGGCCCCGAAGTTCCAAAGTACTTTCACAATCGACCCCCAAATGACATGGTCAGGTCTGTCATAGCAATGCCCTATCCTGGCACCAATTTCTGTCTTATTGCTGTGACGAAACACCATAACCAAAGCAACTTGGGGAGGAAATGGTTGATTTGGTCTATACTTCCACATCAACGAAAAGTCAGGACAAAAAGGCAAAGGAGTTTGGAGTCCTGGAGGCAGGAGCTAATGCAGAGGACATGGAGGAGTGCTGCTTACTGGCTTGCTCATCATGGTTTTTCTCAGCCTCCTTTTTTATAGAACATAGGACCAACAGCCCAGGGATGGCACCACCCACAATGAGCTGTGCCCTCCCACATCAATCACCAAGAAATGTCCTACAGGCTTGCCTGCTGCCCAATCTTATGGAGGCATTTTCTTAGTTGAGGTTCCCTCCTCTCAAATGATTCTAGCCTGTGTCAAGCTGACATAAAATTAGCTAGCACATACTCTTTATCCCAAGATATAATACTGGAACTCAGAGAAACTCTGCCTCAGCCTTCCAAGGGCTCTGATTATAGCCACAAACCCTCTGTATGATATACTTTTTAAAAAGTCATCATTGTAGGGGAAGTATATAGTGTGTGTGGGTGTGTGCATGTACCACAGAACACAATTGGAGGTTACAGGACAACTTTGTGAAGTCACTTCTCTTTCACCTTTACATGGATTCTGACGATCAAACTCAAGTCATCAGGCTTCTGTGGCAAGTACCTTACTTAACCCAGTGATCCATCTCCTGAACATGAAACATTTTTATGATGAATGAAAAGCACTCCAAATACCTGTTACTATATTTTTTTTGTATCCATTATAGATACCAAGGCTAATCTATTTCTACTGTACATGATCTCTCTTTTTTTTTTTAGTTTTTCGAGACAGGGTTTCTCTGTAGCTTTGGTGCCCGTCCCGGAACTAGCTCTTGTAGATCAGGCTGGCCTCGAATTCCCAGAGTGCTGGGATTAAAGGCGTGCGCCACCACCGCCCAGCTGTACGCGATCTCTTTTAAGCTGCCAAGTTGATGGGCCTTTGCTATCCTATTTACTATAACCTTAAAGAACCTTTCTTTGAGGCTGGGTGGTGGCACATGCCTTCAATTCCAGCACTCTGGAGTCAGAAGCAGGCACTCACGTGGTAGCCTGTAACTGGTTGTAATTCTGGTTCCAGAGGGTCCAACAACCCTCCTCTTGCCTTCATGGGTACAAGGCACACATACATAACAACAGGCAAATGCTTATACACATAAAGATAACTAAGTATTTTTTTCTTTTTAGAGTCTTTTTCCTGGTCATGGTGGCACATCTTTAATCCCAGAATTCAAAAGGCAGAGACAGGTGGATCTCAGTTTGATGTCAGTCTGGTCTACATAGTGAATTATAGGACAGTCAGAGATACATAGACTGTCTCAAAAAAAAAAAAAAACTAAAAACTAAATGGCTTCTCTTAATTTCTAGCACATGGTCATCTTTTGGTTCTCACCCGATTTCTATGCATTCCTTACTCACTTCTTTTCCTACAACTTACTGGGCCAGATCATTGAAAGCTCTAACTGCTAGGTTAAAAACCTTGATTTTTATATGATGAGCTATTTGAATTGGGCATCAACATAATTTCAGTACACTCAGCATATTCACCTAGAGGCAAGATGCAGACTAGATCACAGACAAAACGTCTTTTTGACTGATGGAGACTAAAAAATCATGGTTCAAAGACATTTTAAAAATCAAACTAACTGAGCATTCATTTAATCCTAGCACTTAGGAAGCAGAGGCCACAAGTTCAAAGTCAACCTTATCTACATAGTAAGTTCCAGGTTAGCCAGGGCTACATAGTGAGACCCTGTCTCAAAAAGCCAAAAACTAGCCATGTGTGGTGGTGCATGTCTTTAATCCCAGCACTCAGGAGGCAGAGGCAGGCAAGGCAGATCTCTATGAGTTAAAAGCCAGCCTGGTCTACATAGTGTTTCAGGAAAACCAGGGCTACATAGTGAGATCAAGTCTTAAATAAGCTAAAAACTATAAATAAATAAAAGCAACAAACAGCTAAACAGTTAAAAAATGGCCCAAGACTAGAATCAGATACTTTAAAACTGGTTATAAACTCAAACAACCATCGTGATTCTGTAAGTACCATATAGTGTTTATTCTCAGAGAAAATGAAATGTTTACTCTTAAATTTTCTTACCCAGAATAGTGGATACTTCAGATAGATAGATAGATAGATAGATCATGTTTCAACAATTCTCCTTACCTGGCTTCTTTCTGTGGCAATTTAGTCACAGCTATAAATCAAAGAAAGAAAAAGCATTAAGAAGCATGATAAAACCTAATAGCTCATGTCTTTTATTCCTGAAAAACAATTTATAAATTAGAGCTAGTGAAATTTACATTTTCCCAAAACTGGGGACATAGGTCAGTGGTAGAACATTTGCCTACTACACCTTGGGCTCTTTGTCCAGCAATGGAAAGAAGGTCAAAGAAAGGAAGAGGGGGAGGAAAATAGAAAAAAATAAAAGAATTTATACCCCCAAGAAAGATTGAGAAGAAATAAAAGATGACCCAGGAACCAAAAAGGAGTAAACAACACATTAAACACACACACAAACAAACACGAAGATCTGCTCTTGACACCAGGGAAATAAACTTCAACATCCCAAAGAGAACAAGACTAGGACCAAATCAAGCTAAGTATCCCAAACCTCATTTCAGTCATCTACAAAGATGCTCGATGTGCATTACTGTGGAAAGAGCGGGCTACTTACAGGTTTTGCTGCTGCTGCTGGCGCTGCTGCTACTGCTGCTGCTGTTGCTGCTGCCGCTGGTGCTACTGCCGCTACTGCTGCTGCTGCTGCTGCTGCTGCTGCTGCTGCCACTGCCGCTGCTGCTGCTGCCGCTGCCGCTGCCGCTGCCACTGCTGCTGCTGCTTGAATCCATGTTAAGAATATAACTGGGGAAAAAAAGAGGCTTTTACAGTGAGGGCTAGGGAGGCAGAGGCAGGCGGATCTCTGTGAGTTCGAGACCAACCTGGTCTACAAGAGCTAGTTCCAGGACAGGCTTTAAAGCTACAGAGAAACCCTGTCTCAAAAAACAAAAATAAATAAATACAAAAACCCTGAACCTAATCTTTGGGGGGTGGGAGGGCAAAAAAAAAAAGAAAAGAAAAAAATAAAGTGAGGGCTACCAATAACACAGGCCATATAATATCAAAACTCTCCAATAAATGCTAAAAACAAGCAACTTCTGAAATGCAAGGGCATAAAATACTTTTAAGAGCTTATGTGCCGGGCGGGGGTGGCGCACGCCTTTAATCCCAGCACTCGGGAGGCAGAGGCAGGCGGATCTCTGTGTGTTCGAGACCAGCCTGGTCTACAAGAGCTAGCTCCAGGACAGGCTCCAAAACCACAGAGAAACCCTGTCTCGAAAAACCAAAAAAACAAAAAAAAAGAGCTTATGTGCACTGGATGGTGGTGGTGCACACCTTTGATCCCAGCACTCGGGAGGCAGAGGCAGACAGATCTCTGAGTTTGAGGCCAGTCTGATCTATAGAGCAAGTTTCAGGACTGGCTCCATAGTTTACTGAGAACCTCTGCCTCAAAAAACAAACAAACAAACAAACAAAAACAAAAAAAAGCTTTCATGTGTCCAGGTTGGCTTCAATAGCAAAATAATAATCTATTACATTAGATACTGAGGTGGCATTAAACCCCATGTAATATAGAACAAGACCTTGAAGTTTTTATCCTCCTGCCTCCTCCCTCTTGAGGATTGGGACTACAGTAGTATGCCTGCCATGCTCAAGTTTATGTAATGCTGGTGACTGAACCCAGAGTTACATGCATGCTAAGGTAAATACCAACTGAGCTAGATCACAGCCCCTATATGCACTTCTTTTTAAAAAGATTTTAATTTTTTAATTGTATCTGTCTGTCTGCCTATATGTGACTGCAAGTGCCTGTAGTAACCAGAGATATTAGAACCCTCTAGAGCTAGAGTTACAGGTGGTTGTGAGCCATCCAACACTGAGTTCTGGCAACCAAATTTGGGATCCTTTAAAGAGCAACAGGCACTTCTAACTGCTACAACATCCTTCTCAAGTCCCTATATGTATATATAACTGTCATCAAATGTAAGATGTGCAAATTTCAGAAATATGGAGATATTTCAGAACTGAACGGTGAAATAGCTTGATTCAGACCTCTCCAACTATGCTAATAACAGTCTGCTGTAAGCCGGCTCACCTAGACTTTCACAAGACAGGCTCTTGAGCAGTAGTTATAAAAGAACTGTTTCTTTCATAGGACTACTGTAAAAAGTAAACCAGAAAATGGCTGTCCTCTCTCTTCTCTACCCCTATGGTACTACCACTTCTGCCCATCACATTTTCTTACCACAATTCACTGTAAATGCTTATATACGTATCAATCTGCTACCCTAAACGGGAAGCAACATAATTAGGAAGTATTATGTGTTTACTTTTGGTCACTACAAAGTCAGAATAACTGATGCATCAATATCAAGGAGTGGTTCTAAAATCAGGTGGCTCATGTATATAGCCTCAACACTTGGGAGGCTTAAGGAGGAGACTGTCACAAGTTCCAGCCCAGTCATAGCCATCAGAGAATTCCAGGTCATTTTTAGTTATGGAGAAAGAATATTGTCACAAGTTCCAGGCCAGCCTTTAGCTATGGAATGAAAAAAAAAAAAACAACAAAAAAAACTTAATACTTTTTTTTTGGATTTAAAACTTTTTTTTTAAAAAGTGATTAAAAAATTTTAAAGTCTAAAAAGAAAAATAAAAGTGATCCCCTTTTTATTTATGATCTTCTAATCTTCATCACAAAACCTCAAGGTTTGAAAGGTTACTTTCAAGGTTTTTAAATTTTTATTTATGTCACTGTTTGCCTATGGCACAGTTTACCACCAAAAGAGCAGGTTGGATTCCCTGGGGCTGGAGTTAAAGTGGTTATGAGCTACCCAATTCTGGGGTTGTAACTCTGAAAAAGTAGCAAGCGCCCTTAGCCACTGAACCATCTCTCTATCCCTGAGAATCTTTGCCTACTAGATTCTACTGAGTACTCAATTTTCTCCAGGTGAATCTTTGCACTTCTCACTTCAGAAACCCAGATCCTCAATCCTCATCAAATGCTGGAGGTATGCCTGGTGTGGTAGCACACACCTTTCATCTTAGCACTCAGGAAACTGAGCAAGAATTCAGTTTGAGGTCAGTGTAATCTAAGTATTAAATTCCAAGATAGCCAGGCTATAGAGACCATCGCAAAAAATAGAACAAGTTGAACCTATCCCAGCACTCAGGCAGAAGCAGGCAGATTTCTCTAAGTTTGAGGTCAGTGTAGCCTATAGAGTGAGTTCCAGGCCAGCCAGTGAGACCTTGTCCCAAAAATACAAACACACACACACACACACACACACACACACACACACACACACAAAAAAAAACCCAGGGTTTCTCTGTAGCTTTTTGGAGGCTGACCCCTGGAACTTGCTCTATAGACCAGGCTGGCCTCAAACTCACAGAGATCCACCTGATTCTGCCTCCCAAGTGCTGAGATTAAAGGCGTGCACCATCACAGCCCAGCATAAATACAAATTTTTAAAAGTAAAAAAAGAAACGAGATAAAATAGCTTTTTGAGTTAAAGAAAAAGTACTAGTAGTGGAATTGCTGAAGAAGATTGTGAATATTTAAAATGGGGTATGGTGGCCCTGATCATTAATAGTAGAAATAAGGAGGCAAAGGCAGGTAGACATCTGTGTTGAAGCCTGAGAGTTCCGGGCCATCCAGCTCTACATAGTGAGATCCTGTACCAAAAATTGGGTAGAGGTATGGGTATTTAAAATACTGGAACTGCTGAACTTTCCTCTAAAAAGCTCAGTTTATATTCCACTCAATTCTATGGCTATAGACTACATAATGAGACTCTTAGGTCTAACCTGGGCTACAGAGTTAAAATTCTCCAAAACAAAATTCCCCAAATTATTGATTTTAAAAGTTTTTGTATTTTTAGGAAAATAGCCTATTATAATATAAAATGCAAAATTCACCTATCTTTAAATTTTTCTTTTAAGTCAAGGTCTCACACAAGTTCCAGGCTGGACGGAACTCCCTGTGTAAGTCAGACTGGCTTCAACTACTTTAACAAGCTTCCCATCAACATAGCCTTTCCAGTGCTAGGAATTACACCATACCCATTTTCTTAAAGTTTTAGGGTTTTTGTTGTTTGTTTCTTAATATCTGTGTGAAACTTATTTTGGTATAAGGAGTGAATCAAGTAAGAATTACAACTTTTTTGACAACTTCATACACAGAAATGTAATGCACTTAGACCACATTCCCCTCCATTATCCTCTCATCTCCGTCCTCCTCACACAGAACCCCTTCCTTTCCTCTCCTACTTCCACATCTTTTGGGGGCACTGTATTTAGTTAGGGTTGCTTGAAAAAGCATGAGTGTGTAAACTTCAAGTTAGCAGGACTAATTCCCCAATTCCAACTTTTTTGAGTTGCTTTGTTTTTTCTAACGCTAGTGATTAAACCTAGGGCCTTGAATATGTTCTAATTTGTTTTTTTTTTCCCCAAACAGTTCATTGACTATCAAATTGCCTGCTGACTTATCTACTGCCTCCACTCCTTTCAAATATCATTTTCACCATGAACTAAACTTTCTTTGTATTTTATCTATTTCCCACCACTCTGCTCTGTACCTCCCTCCATATTTTATCCCCACGGACTGACATACTGCAGTATTTCAAATAAGAGCATTCAAAGAATGCTGAAGAGACATAGCTATTTTAAATACCTCTGTGATCATGATGAAAATCATTTTTCCTGAGTCTCTCTGGGGGCAGCACTATCAACAATGGAGTGGAAAAAAATCAAACAACATTAGATATGAATTTCAGAGTGACTTTGCAGGAATTATTCATACTCAATAATATGTTGTATGACCTGGGCAGTGGTGGCCCACACCTTTAATCCCAGCACTTGGGAGGCAGAGATAGGTGGATCTCTCTGAGTTCGGGGCCAGCCTGGTCTATAAGAGCTAGTTCCAGGACAGGCTCCAAAGCCAGAGAAAGCCGGCCTCGAAAATATATAAACTGTTGCATGCTTCATAGAATTATGAGTTTCTGGCCACTGACAAAGATATGTAAAACTCTGGAATTATAGAACCCAAGATTCTTATTTCTTTACAATTTTAAGACCAACCAAGTCCAGGCAAGTGAAATGGCCCAGCAATAAATGGTGCTTACCACGAAATTTAACAACCTGAATTTAATCCTAGGGCCGAATTTAATCCTAGGGGCCTATATAGAAGAAAACGAACTCCTGTAAGTTGTCTATCTTCTGCTCTCCATACATCCACCATTGCACATGCACGTCTACACAAAAATAAATAAATGCAAGTTTTTAAGAAGATTAACTGAGTGGTTCGGTGGTAGCACACACCTTTAATTCCACCACTGGGAGGCAGAGGCAGGAGGATCTGCAGAGTGAGTTCTGGCACAGCCAGGGGCTAGCAAGCAGTGAAACCCTGGGTCAAACAAAAAATAAAATTAAAATTAAAAATATTGAGATAGTAGGGTATGGTGACTCAAACCTGCAACCTCAGTACTCAGGAGGAAAAGACATGAAAAGACATAAAGATCCCAAGGTAAAGGTAGGCCTGGTCTACAGAGCAAGTTCCAGGACAGCCAGGGTTACACAGAGAAACCTTGTCTTGAAAAAAAACACAAACAAAAACCCCACACAGTCCCAAAAAAAAAAAAAGCCAGGGTAGGCACACACCATTAATCC